TATGGTTCTGCACCTATATGACTCCTGCCATTTATATAGCGTAATGATTTGTAATTTTGACTTCTAAATTTTACTTATTTTTATTTCCCAGTGCAAAGTATAGAACTGTGCCTTCCCTCTTAAAATAAAGCAATGAGAAAGAATGGAAGAGGGAAATATATCTATAATTGGCAGCAATACATGCAACTTCCCCCTAACTTGCATAGGAAGGTATATGGTTTGGCTTTTGCATTTTCCCTCACTGATTTTAGGTAATTAGCATTATTTTTTTCAAAAAGACTTCTGTTTTCAAATTGGAAAAAAATCATTTTTATGTATGAGTTTTCCACAGTAAAATTACATTTGCTGACCTCCCCTTCCATGAATTATTGTTATAAACATTAATTGAAAGTTTATTTCAACAGTAGATAACTTTAAATTTAGTGCAAATAAAATTTAGAATCAAATTTAGAATTTTAGTTTAAAAAACATAGTTTAACCATTCTGAGCCCATCTTTGCATATAAATTGCTGAGCCTGTGGCTTCTGAAGCCAAGACAAATCCCAGGATTGGAGGGAACTGTCATGGATTCACCTAAATTCCCAAGCATGGGTAGGGAAGAAGCAAGTCTGTCTCGAGGATAGTCCTAGAAGCTTCTGGGGGGATGTTTAACTTTGATCTGCCACGATGAGTTTGCCAGGCAGAGTGATAAGATATTTGGAGAATGGGCCTTCAGAGCAAGAACAGCAAAGAAAGCTGCTAGATGTTTTCAGGAAGCACTGAAAGGATCAGCACTGGCTGGCTCAGAGGTGCTGGGAGTAGGGGGGAGCCAGCAAAATGTGAGACTAGAGATGGAGACATATCAGGCTTATGTTCTGATTTCTCCTTTCTTTATATCTTGAGTCAAGGGCCAAAATCAGAATTGCAAGTGTCTTCTTGTACACCTGTCAGTGGGCTAATAATTAGATTATGAGATACCACTGGCTGTATCTCCTCTCTAGCACTCAACATAGGAGCTCAAACACACATTTTCTAGTTCAGTACCATGTTCAGCTTGAATGGTGAATGAAAAAAAGAAGGGTGACAAGTTAGAGACATTGAGAAAGTGCTGTCCACAGTTTTGCTGGAAATGGTCACCAATTTCTCTGGCTTTGGCAGCAGCCTTGTGATTACCTATAATTTTTCACCTGCCTTTGCCTCCTGACCTTCTAAACAGGATATTTTGAAGGATGGCTTTGAGAGTGTTAAGAGCAGTGGTAGATAAGCGGTAACCTTAAAAACCAGCAGATTAGCTTCAACTGTAGCTTTTGCCTTGCCTGATTTTGGGGCAGCAACAAAATATAGGGCAAAATAGCATTTCTACACTTTTAAAAATTGTTGAATAATGAAAATTCCAGGAAAAACTTGTCTTCTATTTATTTCCTTATCGTCAATTTGTCTACCTATGAAAAGGACATTCTATCCTGTGGACTTTCAAGGTGTACAGTGTTGGCACTACAGTATTTTTGTGATCATGCCGGTAAAAGGTTAAAAAATAGTTCCCATTCTGTCCAGAATGCCCCAAAAATATTCATTCTGAAGCTACATGTCAGTGTTTGATATTTATTGGGTAAAACATTTGTCCTAATTCGTCAGTTTTCTGGCTCCTGTTGTAATTTTACTTTTAGGGGATTTCCTTGAACATTAATTTTTTTTTGACTTGTATTTCAAAGGCCAGACTTATTCCTTGAGTTGAGCATTCTGGAAATTATTTTTAGAATACTCTTAATTATTTGTTTATTATATCTGTTATCAAGAAAGTTGCAAAAATAAGTAAACAAGGTGCAAATCTTGTGTTTCCTCAATGCAAATCCACATGAACCTGTATAATTCAGTTACTCTGAATGAGTCATCCTTATGTCATATATATGGCAAAAAAACAAAGCAACTTGTGTTCATGTTAAAGGTCTATATTTGTCAGTGCTTAAAATAATGTGTATATTATATTCATATTATATTATAGGTATGCTGCTTAGAGCCTATGGATGAATTGCATATGCACACTACTTGTAGTTTTCTTTCTTAAATTTTTTCCCTAAAAATAAACTTTTAGCCCAAAGGAACGGTCACTTACAGAGTTTATTTTTTAATAATTTTTGATTTTCTATAAAATTCTATAATTATTTTATCAGAATCAATTAAGGAAAAAATGGTCTAAGCCATAGAAATGTCTCAGGTCCAAGTTCTAAAAGAAGGGATCAGGAAGGATAGTGCTGCCTAGTACATGAGTATTCATAGTCCTTTTTTGGATTTGGAATGGCCTGTAAGATCAGACAAAGAGCGGGATAAAGGAAGATACATTGTATTGATAACTCACTTCATAGTATTACTTAAGGGTCGGTTTCCCAATTCTGTATTCCTCCCTCCCTCTGAAATTCTGTGCTCTAAATTGAACAGAATTTTTCTTTTGGAAACTACCTATTCAAATGTACGGGAATTAATATAGTGAACACATTGCAATAATAAATTTAAACCATGAGACTGATAGTAAAATATATTTCCCAATCATCAGATGCTTTCCTAGGTCAGAAGCAAACAGAGCAAATGGTGAGCTAGCTGGTTGTTACCGTTAGGAAGGCCAGGTGATTGTGCACTACTTAGGGGAGCTGTCAAAAAATAAGAGGAACACAAAGGCTTAATTGTATACTCAGAATTTATTATTTGATCCTGCTGTATTTAAGCTCACCTTTTAAAGCTGTGTGAATAAAAGCATTTTCCAAGCAAATTGGTTGTATATTTGAATTTAGATGTCCAATATGCAGACACATTCTCATGTTTTCCATAAATTCTCTAATATCCACGGACTGCTTTTGGTTCTCCTTTTTATTCAGCCAGTAAGTTTTCAGTTTTCTTGATGGAAATACAACTGTGAATTAAAAAGCAATAAAATGTTTGCTATTGAATACTTTGATGGGTTTACATTCTATCCATTTCTGTCTGTTCAGTTGGGATTGTATATCTTGTCTGCCAAGTTTCTGTCACCTCCTTTGTTTGTAACACTTTGTAGAGACTTCACAACATTGAAAAAAACCCGTTCTAATAGTCTTGGTAAATATGGTATGGCAAAATGTTATAAATTACTCTAGTGATGGTGTCAGGGAGTGAAGCCTGGGAACCATAGTTTATATAGGCTGTTGTAAATTGTTTCTTAACTCAAACAGTTAGACTATCTAAATGAAAAATGACATATTGTATCAAGTAGAAAAAAGTCACCTGATCTTTAATTCAAGGACCTCTGTCACTGTATATATATGTGTATAAATCTTTTTGGTCATAGTATTTCCTGGGCCTGTCACTCTAACCTATAGTTCTTTTTTTTTTTTTCATGTGAGAAATTGAATGGCTTGTTTCTGTTTGACCTTATTAACTTCCTGTTTCAGTACCTGCAATATAAAGCAACTAAATTACACTCCTGTAGAAATGGAATTTTTTGTATCTGATTTTACCTTTCAAGATTAAATATTTCAGGTGGAAAAATTATGGGCTCTAGAATTAGAGTGGGCTGACCTTGGATCACAGCTGTGCTGTTTCATTGCCTGGGCTACCGTGGATTAAGTTTTTAGCTATTCTGCTATCTAGATTTCTGTATCCAATATGGAGATAGTACCTTTTTGTCTTACAAAGAAGCTGCAAGGACTAAGTGAGATACATATAAAGTGCCTAGTGTTTCTTCCTAAATTTGTTCATTTGGCTTTCTGATTACTTTCTGTATTAAAACAAAACCAGATTAATTCCTATTTCCCCCAAATTTCCTTCTCATGAACCACATCTTCATTTCTAGGCAGGATAGGCTTGTGTCTGTCAAAAGCAATTTAAGTGTCCTCAACACTGTGTATATGCTTCCATTTTTACTATAATTACTATAAAAATAATAATCATTATTGTATGCTGGGGATTGATAACTAATAATTTCACTTCTCTGTTTATCTCTACAGTCCTGGTCAGAATCTTCTCAAATTACCATTACTTGGAAAATTTTCTTAGCATTTACCCCAGTGCCCTTAAAAAATCATGTTTTGAGAATTTACAATGTGCCCTGAAGATATTTTCTTGCATCTAACTTCCTCTTACCTCCTGCTTTTGACATATGCCTCCTTTCTGCCACTAATCATAGTACATTGCAACTTTGAGTCCCCAAATAACTTCTTCTCCCCTACTGTACACAGAGAAGGGCCTGCCTCTGTGCTCCTGCCAAGATCCCTGCAGTGTTAAACCCAGTTTCCCAGGGGAAAGAGGACTGGAGGGCAAGTTCCAGCTCCCACATGGGTTTCATAGAGCAGGAAGTGTCTGTGGGCACCTTTTCCCATGTCAGTGAGACATCAGTTCTCTTACAAAGTAGTCTTTTGGAAGAACACATCTGCTAGAGAATAAGCCAAGGGAAAGCCTGACTTTGTAAAACTGTACAGATTATATTGCAATCAGCAGAGAACACCATTTCTTGAAAATGCTATAATTGTCTTGAGTTAACAATAAGCATCTCAGATTTTCTTTTCTCCATGCTGTGTCTCTTCCCATCGGAGATGGCAAACATATCCTTGCAGGATAAAGGGAAGGTTCTTTAATAGAGCAGTCATAGTATCTGTGAAGTCAGATGAATTGAAAACAGTATTATTCAAATAGTTTCGTTAGAATACTATGTACTGCCTGATTTCCATAGTTGGATTCAGATGTCTGCTGATTCCCAACTCTTGAAGAAGATATTTTGCTATTTTTTATGGTAATACAGTAGCTCCGTGACATAGAAATTATCGTCAATTAGAAGGTAAGGAAACACAGAGGCCGACAGAGGTTAAATGGAACTGTGGCCACACAGTTACTAAATGATCCCTTCTCAACTTCAGATACTCTTCTTTTTACAGTGCTAGTTTGCTTTATTTTAAGTATCCATTTTCAATTGGAGAAAAGCTCCAAGTGAGTTAATTACAGTGGATGTAAAAAAAGGAATTCAAATGAGTAATATCATTATCTCTCTCCATTTCTAGTATGTACGAAGCAGGTAACTGATGAAGCATCTTCCACTCGAGATTCAAGCCTTACTAACACAGCAGTGCAAAGCAAGTTAGTGTCTTCCTTTCAGCAGCACACCAAAAAGGCTCTGAAGCAGGTAAGAGAACTGCCATTCATTCTTTGCCCTTTGGGTCTACCTACTTAAGGTAATGAGTGTCCTGCTGATTGAATAAAATAAACGAGAACCTAGCAGTCAGAAAGCAGTAGAAATATCCTGATTTCAGCCACTTCCACATTCTTTAACATAAAAATTTTAACCTATCCTAAAATGTAGGTGAGGCCTAGCTAGGAATTTTGTTATAAAATAGGAGAGGGAACATACGCTTGAAAATATGTTAAAACTTGTATTAAATTTATTTTGTATCGTGTGTATGACTTGTAGTAAACCAGTTGAGTTTTCAAATTAAACACGTTGTATAATTTGAAAATAATGTCTATATTTATGATCTCACTGTTTATCTGATGTTGATGTAAAAAATAAATGATAATTTCTTTCCTAATACTGAGATACATTAAGTTACAAATAAGAAAAATCTTAAGTGTAGCTTAGCTATATCTAGACTATCCGTCAGTGAGTGTTTGGTGCTGAATGGTATCATCCTGACTCTGCGTAAGCTGTCTTGGCCTCTGGCCTTGGCCTGTCTGGCCTTGTGCTGAGATGATGGTGGGGCTAGGTTGTGAGGGGGCTCAGGGTGCTGGCCTACGGTGCTTTGAGTCCTTGTTCCTCACTCTGTGAATCTAGCCAAACCACTTGGGGCTCTCCGAATCTCAAATTCTTTCTCCAGAGAATGTGCAGTATGATAGTGTCTTTCACAGGGATTGATCTGAAATAACTGAGGTGATACATTGAAATGTATTGTAGTGAATGTCTAGGCCAGAATAATAATAATAGACATTAGCTACTGGGCTCACTCTAGCAAATGCTGAATGGTATAAGAGCAGGCGGAGATGCTCTGAGTAGATGGGGTTGCAGCATGATGGTTATACTAATAATCGAAAGTTCTTATGCTTAACCTTGAATTCATGGTTTGCCCTTGTTTAACTGCTTTCCTCTTACAGTTTCATTTTCATCTTTTCTGCCCCCCTCCCCCGTTGACCCTTACAAGGTCAAGAAGAGTGGTATCATCCTATGGATGCATGTCTGTATATCATATCATATCATGTCATATCATATCATATCATTGCCTGTCTATGTATATTAGAAAAAGCGAAACCTTGCTTTCTAAATGAAAGTTCATTTAAAAAACCAGTTCCACCAACCTGAAAAGATTCTTAATACTCATGTCCAGTCTTCTAGGCTTGGACTGTCTCCACTCACCTTCTCCTCTACTTCAAACAAGGAAATGTAGGGAAAAAACTTAATGCTTTCATACTAATTTATATTACCTTTCTGTTCTGTATTATTAAAATTGTACCATTTCCATTTATTGGCATTGTATTTAAAGTAATAACAGTATCCCATCCAGCGTAAGTTAAATAATCTCAGCTTGTCATTTATATCCTGCCTTCTGTGAAACATTCTAGATGCTGGAGAACAGAACTACTCTCAGTGTTGAACTCCCTGTTAATTGGTGAAATTAAGATAGGAGCAGGTAGGGGAGTCTGGGAAAAGACTCATTCAGGCGGCAAATAGGATGCAGGTAATAAAATACTAACCCGGACAGAACAAAGGATACAGAACTGGACACTTGTAGCTATGACATTTAAGAAACATCAATGAGATCATAAATGAAACTCATAATTCTGAAGTGTAGTGAGTTGGAAAATATGCACACCGGTTAATCTTCCTGTATGTGAGGGGAAGGACGAAAGATTGGTCTCTGTATTGGTATACCACTCTTACTCTCTTTGTTTTGGTTTTATAATATCACTTGAACATTTTTGTTTTACAGTTACTAAAGTGTTACACAACTTTGGGTGGCATTTTGTTTTGTTGTGGAGCATATATTCATAAAACTTGTGGGCTTGCTCAGGAGCGAAAGCTTGGCTTAAGAAATATTTCCTGTATATTTCCTAATGTCCTGAAAGAGATATTTATTAATTTCTTAAAACTTTTTTTCTCACCAAGTAGCAAATTCGTAACCAAGAGAATATGGTTCAGTATATAGCAGATATGCTAATATTTGATTAATAATCAAATCCATTTTGGAACTGCACTGAGAAGAAAAGCTGTGCTTGCAGAATTTTGTGCAAATTCCCTGTAATTGTTGAATTTCTTAAAATAGAATTTGAAAAATTGACTGAACATATGGCATTTTAAATTGAAGCCACACATAAAATCTGCAGCTTCTTTTTCTTTCGGCTAGTTAAATGACCATAGTAGACTTTAAAAAGTGATATATATATATATAATATATAATAATATGATATAATCATATATGATAATATAA